ATACTGTGTACAGATCTGGTCACCACACCTCGAAAAAGGGCAATGTAGATCTAGAAAAGGTTCAGAAAATGATCAATGGGATGGAACACCTCCCCTAAAAAAGAATGCTACATGTCTGCCTTTTTAGCTTATAAGTTTATGAACCAGAAATTTATAAGTTATACATGTAGAACTGTGGTTTATAAGGGGGAACATAACATAAGTGTTGTGTTGTGAAGAAAGAAAAGCTTTTCTTTCTTTTGTAGAATACAAAAACTCAAGGTTATCTAGTGAGGCTGAATGTTGCAAGATTCAAGAGAGACAAGAGGAAATAATTGCTCACTCAGCAAATAGTTAAACTTTGGAACTTCCTACAACAGGATATAGTGATTGCCACCAACTTGGACAGCTTTAAAGGAGGATTAGACACATTAATGGAAGATAAGACTATCAATGGCTATTAGTCAGGATTGATGTGCAAACTACTTCCACAACGGGAGGTGGTATGCCTTTAAAACCCAGTTGCTAGAGAACACCAACATGTAGAGAACAGTTCTGCTCATATCTTGCTTGCTGGCTTCCAATAGTCATCTGGTTGGTCAATGTGAGAACAGGATACTGGACTAGATGAACCTTTGGTCTGTTCCAGCAGAGCTTCTATTTGGTCCTTATATTCTTAAGCCTCTTCGGGAACATAGGAAGCTACCAAATCAGACCAGCTCTGTATTGCTCTCTTGAGAGAGAGAGAGAAAAGTTGGGTAAAAATAACTTAAATAAGTCTGTGTTGGAATCAATGTGATGCCGTTTTTCTAAAGCTATCCACATTATCATTATTATTTAGGATCCATTTTTATGGACCATTGATCCTCCGGAGCCTGCATTGCAGTGTCTCTTTACTTCAAGAAACCAGGCAGGAGGGGAGAAATGCTTGCTTTATAGTTTGGTTCAAGTTTCCGAGGTATCATCAAGGGAAGCCAATTCCATCTGCTGCATGGCTGGTTTGCTTTTGGTAAATCATGGATAAATTAAGATTTCTAAATGCCATTTCACATATTACCAGGAAACAAACCTGGGTTTATCATGGTTATACTGTCACACACACTCTCATTTCTGAGTGGCAAGAGACCTCATGCCAGAGCCAACCTTGGTTTTGGTTTCTTTGGAAAAAAGGTCACTGTAGTCCTAAGATAGTGGGTCACTTCAATTTCAATTGGTTGCTCACAGTTAGTTACAGATTGATCACCTTCTTTTCCTCCATTAGGTTTCCAGGGAGGCCCTCTCCAAACCCATAGCTTTAGTTGCAACATGGAGAGCAAGTGAAACTTCTTGGTCTTCCCAGCTCCAGATGCCACAAGCCCAGACTAGCCACTTGACTATTGTACTTCTCCAGCTAGGATGCTGTATGGTCCAGCCAGGTGAGGGGGGTGTCTCCCCTCTCCTTCTAGATGCATCACTGGCTAGATGTTTCTATGACAACACATCTGTATGGCACCCAGAGGTTCCTACCAAATCCATTGTATAAACTGACCCCAATTCCTTTAATCCAGTGTGAGAAAATGTTGTGGTTATTCAAACATCTGTGTTGGTCCTCTAAGTCAGTGTTCCCCAACCCCCAGGCCGCGGCCCAGTGCTGGTCCGTGGATCAATCGGCACCGGGCTGCCCGAGGAACTTCAAATCATTTCACTGTGGTGGGCGGCCGAGGCGCAGAGCATTGCGCCCTCTCAAGCCCGCCCATTGTGTGACAATAGCGAATGAAAATTCGCTATTGTTACACTGATGCTCCTCCTGCCAATCAGGGAGCAGGTCCTCCCGCTTCCTGATTGGCCGAAAGGCAAACCTCATGACATTGGCCGAGGAGGAGGCGCCACGGGAGGACTGAGTACTCGAGGTCGGAGAGGCGGGGACAGAAGAGAAGCTGCCGTGAGGTAAGTGCACGGAGGGGGGGACTCAGCTCAAAACAAGCGGGCCACGGAAAAATTATCAAACATTTACCGGTCTGCGGTGATAAAAAGGTTGGGGAGCACTGCTCTAAGTCTTTAGAGACTTTAGCTTTATTAGTGCTGGATCAGGCCCATCTAGACCAGCCTCTTGTTCTCACAGTGGCCAACCAGATGCCAAGAGGAAACCTGCAAGCAGGACCTGACCACAAACGCACTCTCCCCTCCTTTGGCTTCCAACAACTGGTATTCAAAAGCATTGCTGCCTCTGACCTAGTGGGTAGTAGCCATTGATAGCCTTATGCCTGTGGCAGGGTACAATAGGATAATACAGGGACTTCATCTTGGCAATTCCAGGCCTCTTTGTGTAGCAGGATATACAGCCCCCCTCCCCCACATCAGCTCTAAAGGGATAATCCGGTTCCCTTGTAAACAAATGTTTCGCATCCCTCAAGATTCATATGCAAAACTGAGCCATAAAAGAAGAAAGAGAAATCTTGATGAGTGAGAATAATCAATCAGCAGAGAGCCTTGATCACTTTCCCCTCCCCAATACTCCTGTTCCCCAATATCTCAATCAGTTTTCCACTTCTCCCACTCCCTCTATCTCTCTGTGTGTGCAGGTACATTGTATATAGGGGTGGGTAGTCTGTTTTGGGATGCGGGTGGTGCTATGGGTTAAACCACAGAGCCTAGGGCTTGTCAATCAGAAGATTGGCAGTTCGAATCCCCATGACGGGGTGAGCTCCCCTTGCTCAGTCCCTGCTCCTGCCAACCTAGCTGTGTAGTGCAAGTAGATAAATAGGTACCGCTCTGGTGGGAAGGTAAACGGTGTTTCCGTGCGCTGCTCTGGTTCGCCAGAAGTGGCTTAGTCATGCTGGCCACATGACCCAGAAGCTGTACGCTAGCTCCCTCGGCCAATAAAGCGAGATGAGTGCCGCAACCCCAGAGTCGGCCACGACTGGACCTAATGGTCAGGGGTCCCTTTACCTTTATTCTGTTTTCGGGTAGGTTATACTAAATTAAGCCAGCGTGAAAGCCAGCGTGGTGTAGTGGTTAGAGCATCAGACTAGGACCTGGGGTACTATGGTTCTGTTTTGAGTTTCTGGGTGCCAGGGTTCAGGAGTGCCAGCTTGGCCCAGTGACTGTTGGTGCCCAGGGCCATGGGTGCCATGCAGCTTGCATGGCCCTGGCACTGAAATTTGTGGGTGCCTGGCCCCTTCATGGGGAATGTTGTGGGTGCTCAGGCACCCAGGGCCCCAGGGAGTTGGCACCTATGCCAGGGTTTGTGGGTGCAAGACACCAATAATTATTGGTTCTAGTAAATGTCAGAATTTAATCAATGCTTGGAGAGTTAAACTGGAAATCAGACTCTCTGCTCCCTGTGTTCAAAAGATCACCTGAAAGATGGGCCATTAGTGAAGGTTCTGTGCCAGCCAGCAAATGGGAAGGAACCAGCTCCCTCCCATCCCCGAAGCTCTGAGTGCATTAGTTAGAAAACAATTGTATTAGGAGGAAAAATTAGGATTTCATTTGGCTGTGGTGTGATCAACAGGTGTCTGTCTGTTAAACACAGCAAGCCTGAGGGGTGGGAGTGGGCAGAACACAATGTGGGCTGCCTGTTTTGAATTGGAGGCTGCAGCAATGGGAGATATGGGACCCTCTTGGGGTGTATGCTGTGTATGCCTTCATTGTAGGCTCTGGTTGTCTGTGTGTGTGTGTGTGTGTGTGAGAGTGTGTGTATGTGTGTGTGTGTGTGTGTGTGTGTAAATCAGCCATATATCATAAAGACACTGCAGTCTCCACTGTGCATCATTTTGAAAGATCCCTGGGTCTAAACCCCTGGAATCTCACACCACTCATACTTGAGTGGTGTGCAACAGTTCAGTTCTCCACTTGGCCGTAAAGCTCACTGGATGACCTTGACTGCCATTTGCGGCCTCTCGGACTAACCTACCTCACAGGGATGTTGTTAGGATTGAATGAGGAAGGGGGAGAGCCACTTTGAGCTCCTTGGATAAAAAGATGGGGTGAAAATTCAATAAATAAACAAGCAAGCCAGTTGTGCTGTCAGCAGAGCCATCGGATTGAATTGACCCTGAGTTAGTCCCATACATTTCTTTCAGCAGGTCTCCTCTGAGCGGGACTTCCTTGGTCAACCCAACCTTCTAGCTATTTACTGCGGACTTTCCTAAGCCACGGAGTGAGCCAGAAACCAGCCCCCTCAAGCTTCCTCTCCAAATCGTGTCCCTGCCCACCCTCCTCCCACACCCCATCTCCTGGCAGCGAAGTTCCTAAAATAGCAAGTCTGCAAGAACATCTTTTTAGCACTAGAGCAGTGTGAATGGAGGGGAAGCTGTATTACCGATAGAGTTCACCCCTCTTCCCCCTTGCGTTTTTTGGGGGGCGTGTGCGCGCCTTGAACAGTTGCTTCCACACGCCTTCGCAGCAGCAGCAGCAGCAATGCTTTTCAGCACCCACGAGCGAAAGGCGGCAGCGCTTTCCTCTCGCCTCCCCGCCCCTCCCTCCTTCTCCGCGCAGAGCCCTGACATGCTTTCTGCTGACAAATGTTCACCGAGGCTGCCGAGGATTTAAGCATGCCGGGCAGCGTCTCTCCAGCTTAGGGGTCCCTGGTTACGCAATGGCTTATCCAAAGCGGCGCAGCGCCACGGTCGCCCAGCGAGCCTGCCGGAGAGTTTGGGACTATTTGGTTTCGGGTACCTCGTCCCCATAAGTCTTACCCTTACCCCGCCGCCTCTGCCGCTTCGCAAGCCTCTCCGCCTACTTTTTTGCTTTTAATCGGCTTTTTTTTCCCCCTGGGGGAAGGGACTGGTTCCCCCCCCCCTTTCTTTGGAAAGTATTGAACGAGGTTTGTTGTTGGAGATGGGCGCCTAGATGGATGCATTTGCTGCAGAGCCTACTTTCTTTACGGCGCGGCATCGGGAGAGGTAAGAAGAATTTCTCAAGCTGCTTGCGAGGGTGGATCCTTTTTTCCCTTCTCCTCTCTGTCCCCCCCCCCCCCGCTTCTCTCTTCCGCACCGCTTGTCTTACAAGCCTTGCCGGCTCTGCCATCTAGAGCACTTCGTGAGATCACTCCAGTGAGTCTGCTGGGTTTTTCTCCCCCCGTCCCTTCTCTCCCCCCACCCTCCATCCATCTCTGTCTCTCTGTGTGTTTGTGTGCACAGGGGTGGATATCTCCCCCTCCTTTTCTGTTCTCACATGCATACACACATATACACAGAGAAGCTCTGCTAAGGTGAACTTGGAGACTTGCAATGCTCACATGCGTGTGGTACCCTGGGATGCGTTTGGAGCCATATGCCTGCAGGGTTGCTTAGTCGTTCAAAATTGTCTTTGGGAAAAGAAAGGGGGGGAAAGAGCAAGTTTATTCCTTCTCTGTCTGACACACACACACACACACACACACACACGTCTTCTGCTGTTTTCTCTCGGTGTTTTTTTTTGGGTGCTGTGGATATTACTACGAAGTCTGAAGGATTCAGTCATTTGGACCTCGCTGAATCAGGGTCCATCTGCCAATGTTTCTTTCTATAAATATATTTTGCATAACTGGTGATCGACTGAGGATTTTTAAAAATATCATTATATTTTCATTTGAAGAATAAGGGGGGGGCAAGGATGCATGGCATAGAAAGAAGAACTAAGTACCTTCCGGAGATTATATTTCCAAACCAGGGATAAATGTGATTCATCAAAGGTAAGACCCGGGGTGTTTCCTATCAAACTCTCATTGTATATATAACATAACCTTTTCTTTAATGTCTTAGAGAGCATTTGAGATGGGTTTGAAGGGCATTTGTGGGGAAATGCATAACTTTATTTGTATGTTTCTAAGACCCTTGGTAACAGAGATCTTGCGGAGGGAAATGAGTCTTGTTTTTGCTTTGCTTTTAATAAGGGGGAAAAAGGAGTTCAAAGGAATTGCATGGTGTGTGTCTCCCTTGGATGAAAAAAAACTGCTGCTAGAAATCTAAAATAATTTATGCTGGAGTAGATCAAAGATCAAAAAAAGGGTTTGGAAAGGGGGAGCAGGAGAAATTACAATATTCTATTAGAACAAGCATTATGGGAAAAGAAGGAAGGAGAAATGTGTGGAAACCATCTAGGGATTTAAAAATAAAATAAAAACCCTGTAAAGCTAAGGAAGAACTTTGCTATGCAAATAAAACTCCATTCTGTCTGAAAGCATACAGTTCAAGGACAGAGGATCTTCGGAGATGTCATAGAAAGAATAGAAACTGGAGATATCTGGCAGGAGACCAGGAGAGGCAGTAGGACTGGAAGGGAACACCTGAGATCAGGTGAAATCCCACTTTGTCTTACAGAGATTCCTAATAATGTAAAGGAATAGGTAAGGAAAAGAGGTCCCAATGGGATTAAGCAAGTAGAGCTATTGAAAGGTGGGCAAATAAGGAATGGAGACCCACCTTGATTATGCCATATCATGTCACTCAAGCGTCATCAGATGTTTACAGTTCCCTGAAAGAGCTGGGCAGTTGATATGAAAGTGGTGGCATTTGCATGTAGTATGACAGATCAAAGTGGGCAGTCTCTCTTGATCACTTTCTTTGACACTCACATTCCCTAAATATATTAAATTGGTGTTCTAGAACCAAAGTAAGATTAAGAAGAAAGGAGATTCAAGAGATCCTCCAGCAGAAAATTGCTGGGGAGGCTCCACTGTGAACTTTCTAAACCCCTTGCCCATGGATAAATGGGCAGCCACTACATTTGATATGCACTTACACCTACAGAAAAAGGAAATGAGATCATGTAGCAGGACTCTATGTTGTGTGTGGCACACCTAGTGATTTGTTTCTATTTCCTGGAGATGCTAAGGGGCGATCAAAGAGGTGGTGGTGGGGGTTTCCTCCCATACTCTTTTGCGAGTAACACCACCACTGTATGCAGAGACAGGAGGAAAGACGGACAATCTTGGAAGAGGAGCTTTTCCCTAATGTGCTTCTAAGCATATGCACTGCTGAGTAAACATGCATGTTCTCAGATACGCAGTACCAATCACTAGGAAGTCAAAGATCTGCCCCCAATTCGTTCCTCCAGGTTTCATGGATATGGAGAAGCTATGACACCTCAGGTGTCACTGGGCAGCAAATGTTGATCCTGTTATGGAAATGGTTGTGTGTGCTGGAACCATCACTGGTTTGAGAAAATGGAGAAACACAGCGTAGTTGGACATTGCTTTTTCCTACGATGATTCCCATTTAGCCCCACTTTGGTTCTTACCCTGAGTAGAGTTAGCTTGCAGTTGGCACATGCCCAATCTATGTGGTTTGCATCCTCTTGTCAAAACAGAGTGAGGGTGGCTGCAAAGCCCCTTTAGGGTGTATGATTTGCTGAAAAAGAGGTTGTGCTTTTTTGGGGGGGGGGTGGACTCTGTCCAAATATACCTTCATAACCTTTGGGAACTGGCACCTTCTGCAGCATGGTGTGCATTTTGAGACCGTCTTCTCTGCAATGTGACTGTGATGAAATAAATAACATTCAGGACCCAGCTCTTATTTCTGGCTGATTAACATTGTAGGTGGAGTGCCTTGTTTCTAGGATCTCGCCTAGGCAGTTTCATCTCTGCAGACAGTAATAAAACCACGGTTCACTGTGAGCCCTGGTTCTGCTCCTTTTCCTCTCAGCCTGCCTGCTTCCTCTCCACTGTTGCTGCTGCCATTTAACAACACTTGTTTATATTGAAATGTGGAATATAATCACTTAGTTTTGCCTTCTCTCCTCCTCCTGCCCCTACTCTTCGGAAAATGTAAACAGCCCACTTAGCATTTCTATGGCAGCCTCTGTGCGTCCCTTTCTGCATGGTGGGATAGGAGCTGACAGCTCCCTGACAGTCCTTTGCAAGTCATCTCACTCTGTCTCTTTCACCATAGCCCTCAATCCATCGACTGGTGTTTGAAATGTGGCAGTCATGTCTGCTTCGGGCGTGCATGTATAGAGATGCTTGTTCTGGAGTAGGGATATTGCTATTTTCCTGGGCACAGGGCACTGTCATGTGTGGAAATGGGCTGGGGCGAAGCTTTGTTAGATGCAGGTGGGCATTTTCTCTTCTCTCTGAGCTTCTAGCCAATACACTGGAGTGAAAAATAATGCCTTTGAGCACTTTTTCCTCTTCAGAAGAGAGGGGGACACTTTGGAGGAAAGAAAGGCGAGACTCATCTATGCTCCCGTCTCTGTACCCCAAACCTCTCAGCAATACTTGCAAAGACAGAAACCAAGTTCTGCTTACCCTTCATTCAGTCATAAACAAGAGACTTCTGGGTAAAGATTCCTAACTCAGAACCACTTTGTTGGAGACTCATAGGGCTCTGAGCTTAACGCTTCCCCTCTTCCTAAACTGGTATTTGTGATCTGTGGTTCAACCTAACTTACCGTATATTTTACTTGTATTTTACACCCCTTAGATACACTAGTTTGAAAAGGCATATAAATAAACAATCAAATCATCTATCAGGTGCCAAATTGAAAGGTTGTCAAGTACAGCTTTAACTACAACCAGGAAAGTTTTGTATCATTCTAGAACCAATTAAAATTGAGCTAGGAGCCATGAAACTAGACTTGTCTTGTATTAAAAGAACCGTGAAACTAGGTTTGTGGCCAATAAATCACAAAAAAGCAAAAAGAGAGAGAGAATATTTCAGGACTACCATATTCATAACCTGCTTGTACAATTGCAGTAACCATACTAATATCAGCTGTTCTTGAGACAAATTCACTGGTTTAGGAAGGAAGTGTGCTTGTGTATTCGCATTTACATCAATAATCATTTCATATCCTTATGATGTTTGTATATTTGCCAGATGTCAGTCCTTTCACCATAAATCTTATAATACAACTTTTTCCTCTAATTAATTGGTGCCCATCTTTAAGACTACAATACCATGATGCAGTGTGATTGTAAGCGAAAAAGCATATACAACTAGCATAGATTATACCAAACAATTTAGGATGTGTGTGTGTGTGACAGATTGAAAGCTATACCTTCATGAGCCAGAGATCTCTGGTTGGTTCTATGGTTACTGAAAGATCTAAAGAAGTATCTGGATTTTCGGCACCCACAATCTAGAACATGTTCACATGGGAGTTACTTGTGCTAGTGGTTGATTACTGTAAAACACAGATGAAAGTGTGGAAAGTAGGGAAAGCCATGGCAGATGAGGAAAGTGATAACCTGTTCATTGAAGTTCATTGCATCTTTTTTCTGTGTCTAGTGTGTTATATTGGCATCCTCTGAATGCAACAGGGATACTACAGAATGACCCATATAAGCAAACAATGGGTAGCTTTCTTCTTGCGCTTACAAATTAGATCATTCCCCCCCCCCTAGTGCTTAAGAGACTACTGGGAACTCAGATTATGAGAGCATGTTTATATCATCAAACTCTAAGGGCTTATTAAAAACTATGTCAATTTGTTAAAGTCTCTAGATGATAGTAATGGAACATGGCAAACATTAATAAGTAGAAATGTGATTGGAGAGGCTATCTAAAGAAGATACACCGGGCGAGGGAACTTTTTGGCACCCAAGGCCCAATCCTTATCATGATCAGCCTCATGGGCCAAACTTGGCAGGTGGACAGGGCCACCTACCTGTCAATCACATCAGTATGACACCGCATGATTGATGGGTGGGTTTGGCTGCCCACATGTCAAATGCAGAGCTTTGCAGATCTCTCCCCACTTGAAAGTCCTGGTCTCAGAGCTCTAAAATGGGAGTGTTGGGAGGCTTGCAAAGGCTTTAAAGCAGCCCTCATGATCCCATTATCAGCCTGAGACATGAGTATGGGGCTGTTTTAAGGGCTTCTGCAATCTGTTAAATGAAAAAGAGTGGGATCAGCTGCACAGTTTTTGAGAAGTGCTTTGAAGCAACCCCCAGCACTCCCATTTCAGCTGAAATGGGGGCTGCCTTACATTACTCCCCAAAAGTGCTATTTGAAGCAGCTCCTATCAGTAGCCTGCCACTGCCACCTGACTGACTGCAGAAGAAGCACACAATCTGCTTCAAACAGCGTTTTTGAGAAGTACTTTAATCCCTACTCATCCGCTGATGAGTGGAGATTAAATCCTACTGCCTTGGCTGTGCGATCCTGTTCCCTGCTGGCAGCAGGGCATGCAGCCAATGCATGATTTAACCTTGTACTCCTGCCCATCAGCTGACATCACTGGGGATGTCAGCTGCTGTGTGTGTGGGTGGATATGGTTTGGGGGAAATCCCCTTGTGGGCCAAACTATTCCCCTGGCCTGCTGGCATCTTTCAAGGTTGGCCTGCAGGCTGGTAATTCTCCACTTCAATATAAGGAATCACCTGTAGAGTGAATGTCCAGCCTTTCCTTATAGAACAAAAAATAAAAATATACCAAAACCATGTACCAATCTCTCTTTCCCTCTCTCTCCTCCACCCTCTCTCTCTCTCTTACACACACACTTCATTATATCATGCCACTAAAACTATGGCATAGCTCATAAATGTTGTTGAAGAGGATGCAAAAAGCTCTTAAGGATAATTTAATTAATTTGAGGCTATTTTGATTCTGTTACAATTTTATTAGTAGTATGGGAATAAAAAGCCTTCCAGTGAATATGTACAACTAATACTGAGTTTATTCATGGTAGCAAAACTGATCATCACCTGACTGAGAAAAAGTTCCTTATTTACAAAATGTTGCTTGGTAGTGT